TTCATGATACCATTAGTTGATTCGGATGCGATTAATCAAATTAATAAAATTTAATTAATGAAAACTTTAAACAAGTCCAGCTGGGCATCGATATGTGCAAATTGGTAAGCCCACAGCAAAATTTGTGCGTATCGGGCGGTCAGGCGCACTGTTATTTCAAACACTGTTTTTGGAATGGCAAATGGGTCCTTCTTAAAATCCTGAATATTTAATTAAGCCCTGAAAGAAGCCAATTTGTTATGGCAAAACCATAATTACTATTTCTCTTATTCATTTAATCAAAATGTAAAATTGCCCTTTCAAACTCTATATTTCCAAACGATCAAATGATATTCTTAAAATGCATTTCCTTTTATTTGAATTATAAATATGGGTGAGGAGTCCTATAAAATTTAATTGACAAGCAAAAAAACCAATAAAATACTGCTATGGTTTTATCAGTTGAAACGGGGGGAGAGGGTGTTTACCTCCCCGAAAAATTTGAATAAAGACTTAAAACCCTATCCCAATGGGGGAGGGGGGGGGGGCTTCCCAAATATTCCTACAAGCAAATATATACACACATAGGAAGAGAGATATTTAGATATTTTACCTCTAGTTGGTAATTAAATCTTATATCAACAAGTGCTTGAACTTTATATATTTCATTTAAAATAAAAAAAAATGTCCATATAAAATTACACATATATAATAATATACACGTACCTTGATTTGAAAAAAAAAAATATAGTTTCGTTTCGTTTCGGCAGGTTTCGTTTTGATTTCGTTTCGTCTTGATTTCTTTTCGTTTCGGTAGGTTTCGTTTCGTTTCGGTAAGTTTCGTTTCGTTTCGGTAGATTTCGTTTCGTTTCGGCAGATTTCGTTTCGTTTCAGTTCGTTTCGTTTCGTTTCTATTTCGTTTCGCACTTTACAGGTACCCGACCTAAACATACATGAAGTCATAGCAAGAAGCAGTGAAAGCCACACGCAGAGATTGGATGGAGCATAATTTTTTTCTATGCCTCGGCGCCTCTATGGATGTCATATTTAGATCAGGTATTTAATACAGAACACTACATAACACAGACTAATGTCTAAACAAAGACACTATTGACTATTTTTTTTCAAATTAAAAAAGGGGAAAGTCAAGAAAAATTGATAGCAAACATACAGGCTGACTGCTAGTAAAAGTTGCCAGTCCTGCTAAAAATTTACCAGCCTGAGAAAATAATTGTCTTTAGTAAAATTGATTTTTGAAACTAGAGGTACTGTGTGCAATGAGTAAATGATAACACCCCCCCCCCACCTCCCATATGAATATAATATGTGTCCATGTTTTGCTGTAGGAAAGTATTATATTAATAATGCCATACTTTCATACAATACCATTATTTTTTTTGCCTAATTTTACTCTTTAACACGCAAAATCTCAGGAGCTTATGGGGCTTTGCCCCCCTGGACCCCCTTTTCATTCAAACTATGGTATGACTAACATATGACTGTACTTTGGAACATCACGATCTAGACCCCTTGCCTGAACAAATTTATACACCCCCCCCCTCCCCCCTTTGAATCACAAATCCTGTACTGTTCATGATACCATTAGTTGATTCGGATGCGATTAATCAAATTAATAAAATTTAATTAATGAAAACTTTAAACAAGTCCAGCTGGGCATCGATATGTGCAAATTGGTAAGCCCACAGCAAAATTTGTGCGTATCGGGCGGTCAGGCGCACTGTTATTTCAAACACTGTTTTTGGAATGGCCAATGGGTCCTTCTTAAAATCCTGAATATTTAATTAAGCCCTGAAAGAAGCCAATTTGTTATGGCAAAACCATAATTACTATTTCTCTTATTCATTTAATCAAAATGTAAAATTGCCCTTTCAAACTCTATATTTCCAAACGATCAAATGATATTCTTCAAATGCATTTCCTTTTATTTGAATTATAAATAAGGGTGAGGAGTCCTATAAAATTTAATTGACAAGCAAAAAAACCAATAAAATACTGCTATGGTTTTATCAGTTGAAACGGGGGGAGGGGTGTTTACCTCCCCGAAAAATTTGAATAAAGACTTAAAACCCTATCCCACGGGGGGAGGGGGGGGGCTTCCCAAATATTCCTACAAGCAAATATATACACACATAGAAAGAGAGATATTTATAAATATAAGAGCTCATACAATATGCATGGGTTTCTGCCAATGTTTTCATCTAATTTAGGTTTGAAACTTAAAAAATAAAATTTGATCCTACAAAACTATAACTCTTTTTCAATTTATAACTGACTAGTATGAATTCATGATGATATCACTAGTACATGGGGGAGGGGGGAAGGCAAATAAAGATTTAATTATCAATAATTCAAAAGCTAAATTGTTATATAAATGTATCCATTCTCTTGTCATACGATGAATTTCTTGATTTGTTATCATTTCAGATGCAGTCTGAGCCTTGTTCTGAATTTCAAAATCCCCTTTGACAACACCTGCACAGCTGAGGTAATGTAAACTTAAAAATTGAGGACCAAAGTCACCAAGAAAAGATGATCAATTCAACTAACGTTAGTGTTATATATACATTATATTATTTATGTATCATTAGCTAATTCGGTATTTTGTGTTGACAACTTGCAGTTTTTTAAAATTATCATTAAGAACATTCCTTTTCGTTTAGAAATCAAGGACCTTCTGACCAAGGGCTGAATTATAGTGAACACTGCCATTCAGAGACTTTGAAACAGGTATTTCTTCTGCTTTTGATGCTCTGAAGTTTTTAGCTCACCTGAGTCGAAGACTCAAGTGATCTTTTCTGATCAAAGTTTGTCTTTTGTCTGTCATTGTCATTCTTCAAGGGGAGAGAATTACAAAAATAATAGCATTACTGATATCTTCTCAAGAATCAATGGCCCAGGAAATATGAAACATGTGTGGAACCATTGTCGGGTAGTGTAGATTCAAATTTTTCAAAAGCATGAACCCCAGTTGTAGGACGGGGCCATTAGGATGATCAAAGTTTAACATAGGAATATATAAAAAAAAATATTTTAAAATCTTCTTTTAGGATAAAGCAGGCCTTGATTGGTAATATTTATATGAAAGCATTTTCAGGTGGTGTAGATTCAAGTTTGATCAAATCATGACACTTGGGATAGGATGGGACCACAAAGGCCAATCAAAGTTTAACATAAGAATATAGAGAATTAAATCCTTTAAAAATATTCTTCTAAAGAACAGAAAAGCCAGTAAGTTATTATAATATACATATGGAAGCATTTTCTTGTAGTGTAGATTTGTTCAAATCATGACAACCCCCCCCCCCCCCTGTATAGGGTGGGGCCACAATAAAAGTTCACACTTGTAGGGAAAAACTCAGTCAAAAATAAGTACCCCATAAGCATCCTTAGTGTAGATTCAGTTATGTTCAATCATACCCTCTCCCCTCTTCCTCCCTTACAGGCAGAGGTCAGGACCAAATATGCTTTTATGCTTTTCAAAACAAAGCTGATTTTTGATTTTTATCCAAACCAGGTGAGTGATGTGGCCCTGGGTCTCTTGTTAAATCATTTATCTACACATATGTACAATACAACTCGGTTATAACAAACTAGGACCTGTAAAAGTACTTCGCTATATCGATAATTAGTTATATCCATATTTGTAATTTTTAATATTTATATAGTTGGGGATCCAAGAGGACTTCACTATATCTGTGAATTCACAATGTCTGTGTTTGTACTAAACAAGTTTTACTGCAGTTACATGTATGTGGAAGCCAAATAGGAGTAAAAGATGTATTATTATAAATGTAACACAGTATCATCTTTATTTTGTTAAATCCATACAAATGTTTCTTTGAATATTGGAACCTAAAATCAGTAGAAAGTTAGAAAGTAAAATTTATAAAATGCAGCATATCTAAACAGAATTTTTGTTGTTGAAAAAAACCCTTTTCAGATGAGCAAGGCTGTAATAGTCCTACTAATATTTAGAATCAAATAACAGCTAACTACTTGAGGCAAGGATAGGATGAGGGTTAAAAAAGGGGTTACATTACTTGAAAATTTAGAGAAGAATTGTAGAGCTGAGGTTTTTCTCAAGAACCACAGGGCCAATTTTTACCAAACTTGGCAGGGCTAAGACCCTTCACAAGGGGTGATAATCAAGAAAAGAGAAAAATGGGGAGCCACTGGGTCAAAAAAGCTGAAACTTATGTTAAAGCATCCAAGGATTAAGTGTACATTCTAAATTGTTTAAATCATGTCCTCCTCCCCCTAAGAAAAGGCCTAAACCACAAAAGGTATTACGGTACAAGTAGGAAAATCTGGTGTAGAACAGAATGGCCAGTTACTCTGGTGAGTGTTATGGACCATGGTCTTCTTGTATTCATGATCATGATCATAGAGAAAAGGAACCTTAGCTACTCTCTTCCTTCAACAGCAACAAGAATAAATTGCTTTATGGAATGCCCATTTTCATTAACAAAGTTCAAATTTTGAATTATATTTTTCCAGATTGATGAATCAACTACATGCATTATGTCAGAGGAATCTAGCTGGAGCACCTATTTAGCAGCCAGGACACATAGATGTTCCCGTACAGCTGATACAGATAATCTCAATGGCACATTTCTAAATGATGGCCAAAAAAATCTAATAAAGACACTGTCAGTTTAAAACTCTTTGAAAAGAAAAAGAAATCCAGACCAGAAACAAAGGATATTGATTTTTAAGCCCCTCCAAATCTAAAAGGGGTTTTATTGAAGGATACACCCAAGGATGTTGGATATTACACCCCTTCAACATAAAATTTTGAATTTTAGTTTGCCTATCTAGTCAAGAACATGGATTTTTTGACTTTTGATACACTTATTAATGTTATATTGACATTTTTTTCAAGATTTCTTTACTGTAAACTAATATGGGTTAAGTGTACATTAAAAAAAGTACATTTACAGATGATTTTTCAAAATTGCTTTGAATACAATTGAAATATTTAGATCATGTCTCATAAATGGTTAATCACAGTTACCACAGAAACCAAATATTTGTTTAAAAAAAGTTTTAGGTACCAAAAAAATGTTGTGTCTTTCAATATCTTAGCTAATGGCCACTCATACATTTTTCTTCATATAAGGGAATCTCACTGGCTAAAGTGTATAGGCAAATACAATATTTTTATACCCGCACTTTCTAAAGAAAGTTCGGGTATATTGTTGTTACTCATGTCCGTCCGTCCGTCCGTCCGTCTGTCACACTTTTCTTCCCTGAACTCCTCCTACATTTTACACAGTAGCTTAATCATCTTTTAAGAGATGGTTGGTGGTGTCATGTAGATGTGCAGTAAGGTTTCGGAATTTTGATTTTGCCCCGGGGGGTCAAATGGGGGTCGAAAAATGACGTTTTTTGTGCAAAAAGTCCCTTCTTCCCTGAACTCCTTCTACATTTTACTCAGCAGCCAAATCACCTTTTGGGGGATGATTGCTGGTGTCATGTAGATGTGCAGTAAGGTTTCGGAATTTTGATTTTGCCCCGGGGGATCAAATTGGGGTCGAAAAATGACGTTTTTTATGCAAAAAGCCCCATCTTCCCTGAACTCCTCTTACATTTTACTTAGCAGCCTAATCATCTTTTGTGGGATGATTAGTGGTGTCATGTAGATGTGCAGTAAGGTTTTGAATTTTAATTTTGCCCCGGGGGGTCAAATGGGGGTCGAAAAATGACGTTTTTTGTGCAAAAAGTCCCGTCTTCCCTGAACTCCTTCTACATTTTACTCAGCAGCCAAATCACCTTTTGGGGGATGATTGGTGGTGTCATGTAGATGTGCAGTAAGGTTTCGGAATTTTGATTTTGCCCCGGGGGATCAAATGGGGGTCGAAAAATGATGTTTTTTATGCAAAAAACCCCATCTTCCCTGAACTCCTCTTACATTTTACTTAGCAGCCTAATCATCTTTTGGGGGATGATTAGTGGTGTCATGTAGATGTGCAGTAAGGTTTCGGAATTTTGATTTTGCCCCAGGGGGTCAAATGGGGGTCGAAAAATGATGTTTTTTGTGCAAAAAGTCCCGTCTTCCCTGAACTCCTTCTACATTTTACTCAGCAGCCAAATCACCTTTTGGGGGATGATTGGTGGTGTCATGTTGATGTGCAGTAAGGTTTGGGAATTTTGATTTTGCCCCGGGGGATCAAATGGGGGTCGAAAAATGACGTTTTTTATGCAAAAAGCCCCATTTTCCCTGAACTCCTCTTACATTTTACTTAGCAGCCTAATCATCTTTTGGGGGATGATTAGTGGTGTCATGTAGATGTGCAGTAAGGTTTCGGAATTTTGATTTTGCCCCGGGGGGTCAAATGGGGGTCGAAAACTGATGTTTTTTGTGCAAAAAGTCCCGTCTTCCCTGAACTCCTTCTACATTTTACTCAGCAGCCAAATCACCTTTTGGGGGATGATTGGTGGTGTCATGTTGATGTGCAGTAAGGTTTGGGAATTTTGATTTTGCCCCGGGGGATCAAATGGGGGTCGAAAAATGACGTTTTTTATGCAAAAAGCCCCATTTTCCCTGAACTCCTCTTACATTTTACTTAGCAGCCTAATCATCTCTTGTGGGATTATTAGTGGTGTCATGTAGATGTGCAGTAAGGTTTCGGAATTTTGTTTTTGCCCCGGGGGGTCAAATGGGGGTCGAAAAATGACGTTTTTTGTGCAAAAAGTCCCTTCTTCCCTGAACTCCTTCTACATTTTACTCAGCAGCCAAATCATCTTTTGGAAGATGGTTGGTGGGGTCATGTAGATGTGCAGTAAGGTTTTGGAATTTAGATTTTACCCCGGAGGGTCAAATGTGGGTCGAAAAATGACGTTTTTTGTGCAAAAAGCCCTGTCTTCCTTGAAGTCTTCCTTAAATGTTACTCAGAAGTCTAATCATCTTTTAGGAGAGTTAAATATTTTGAAAATTATGTAAAACATCAACGTCAAGGGGTAACAAGATGTGTTTGTGAAACACTATGCGCCCGACTATTTTTAGCATGTAGGTCACAGTCAAGGTCACAAGGTCATTGACCTTGATGTTGTTTGTAAGAACTTAATTAGTGGGGTATGCATACTAAATATGAAGTCCCTATCTCCTATGGTTCAAAAGTTATGGCAAAAAGTGGAAAAAGCTATTTTTATCATATAGGTCACAGTTAAGGTCACATGGTCATTGCCCTTGGTGTTGTTTGTAAGATCTTTATTAGTGGAGTATGCATACTAAATATGAAGTCCCTATCTCCTATGGTTCAAAAGTTATGGCAAAAAGTGGAAAAAGCTATTTTTAGCATATAGGTCACAGTCAAGGTCACAAGGTCATTGGCCTTGATGTCATTTGAAGGAACTTTATTAGTGCAGTACGCATACCAAATATGAAGTCCCTATCTCCTAAGGTTCAAAGGTTATGGCAAAAAGTGGAAAAAGCTATTTTTAGTATAAAGGACACAGTCAAGGTCACATGGTCATTGACCTTGGTGTTGTTTGAAAGAACCTTTTTAGTGGAGTATGGATACCAAATATGAAGTCCCTATCTCCTATGGTTCAAAAGTTATAACAAACAGTTGAAAAACCTACTTTTAGCATATAGGTCACAGTCAAGGTCACGAGGTCATTGACCCTGATGTCATTTGAAAGAACTTTATTAGAGGAGTATGCATACTAATTATGAAGTCCCTATCTCCTATGGTTCAAAGGTTATGACAAACAGTTGAAAAACCTATTTTTAGCATATAGGTCACAGTCAAGGTCACAAGGTCATTGACCTTCATGTCATTTGAAAGAACTTTATTAGAGGAGTATGCATAACAAATATGAAGTCTCTATCTCTTATGGTTCAAAAGTTTTGGCCAAGGTTAAAGTTGACAACAGACAAACAGATAAACAGACAAACAGACAAACAGACAAGACAAAAACAATATGCGCCCTGAAAAAATTCGGGCGCATAAGAAAACATCGCATGCTGGGAAACACCTTGAATTCTTATGAGTAATTTATGTACATGTCAAATGTGAGAGTCATATCTCATCTCAATCAAAAGTTATAAGCAAATGCAACATTTTTGAAAAGTAGGTTAGGCTTGATCACTTCAAGGTCAAGGTCACAGTGTTAAAGTCATGATTTATTTGGAAAGGTCTTATCACAGGTAATAATATACATGCATTATGATATGAATGCCCTAACGTTTTACATGCATTATGATATGAATGCCCTAACTTTTCTCTTTCAAAATGATGAATTTATAACCATTTTATTTTTTTTGCAAGTTGGTCAAACTTCTAGGTCACATGTAAAAAAAAAAAACCATGCCATTCTCACAGGTAAATATACTAATACATAAGTTTAATATGAATGTCTCTTCTCATTCACTAGATATGACCGTGATAACCAAGGTTAAATTTATTGAGACAGATGAACTGAGTCTGACATACAAATGTACATATTTCTATATGAATTGGGTAAAATTGGCCCAGTGGTTCTAGAGAAGTTAAAAATGTAAAAAGTTTTCAGACAAACAGATGGACAACACGTCACGACAGACATTATATGCTAAGGAAACCAAAAAAGCTCAAATGAGTGTTTTGAAAGGGTTACAATATGGTTGGAGTATTTGAAAAGCTGTGTTTTTTTTCCTGCAGAGATATGCATGACCAACATATTCATGTTTTATATTTTCTTTAGTGATTTGTTTGTTTGTTGTGAATACATCTTCCCTCTTATGGAGAAACCAACAAATAATAATGACGATAAGATGTGTTTGTGAAACACTGATGTCCCAGTATGGAAGCCTATGGCGAAGGTTGAAGTTTCTCAAATATATGTCAAAATCAAAGGTAAAGGTCAAAGGGTTCAAATTGTTAGTATCAGAAGAAAGTCTTGTCACAAGGAATGCACATGTGAAATAAAGAAATCCCTAGTAATTCCTGTTCAAAAGTTAATTGCCAAGGTTAATTTTTTTGTTTAAGTGGTTCAAACTCTAGGGTCAAGGTCAAACATATTTATACCTGTTGACAGTTCACAATGAATACAATATGTCATGATAAGTATGAAAGCCCTAGCACCTACTGATCAAAATTTAGGCAGAGTTTAAAAAAGAGGTAAAAATTAATGGTACCCAAATAAAAGGTCTTATTAAATTGTCACAAGAAATAAACCTATAAAATGTGGAAGCTATTTGTATAGCCCATCCCACTTAAGACTTATGGGCAAGCTAGCTAGGATTTAATTTCTGCAGACTTATAGACAGACATACTATAAACACAAGAAACAAAATATGTATAATAATTAGTCAAATGGAAAAAAATATACTATTTAACTGGAATCACAAAATACATTGTTATTTCAGGGACAGGAAGTGGGTAGGAAGATTGGAATCCCCCCCCCCAACCCCAACCCCCCCCCCCCCCCATGGCATTTGCTTTATTTAAACAAGACTATATACTGTAGCAAGTAAAAAATGACTCTTGACATCCTCTCCCTATAAACTTAGAAAACATTGACCTCACTATCATTGTTTTTTTATTTGTTTATTTGTTTTCATTTTTTTTCTCCGGCTTGTCA